TGCCAGGGTTAGAAGACGACGTGGTGAAAGGAGAAATCCACAGTTTTTTGTTGAAAGACATGTTCATCACACTGTTGGAGTTATGGTTTGGGGTGCTATAGCTTATGGTTCCAGGTCACCTTTAATCTTCATCAGAGGTAACATGAACGCGCAGCGTTATATCCACGAAGTTCTAGAACCCCATCTTTTACCCTATCTTGACACCCTGGCAGATCCAACTTTCCAACAAGATAATGCCCGACCACATGTTGCAAGAGTCACAATAGACTTCTTCCAACATAATGATATCACATTGTTACCATGGCCACCAAGATCTCCCGACTTATCCCCAATTGAGCACGTGTGGGATATGATGGGTAGGAGATTGCTCAATTTGCAACGTCCTCCTCAGACTCTAGAAGCACTTCGAGAGGAGTTGGTGGTTGCCTGGAATGAGATACCACAGGAGGACATTGACCACCTGATCAGAAGCATGCCTAGGCGGGTTGGAGAATGCGTAGCACATCAGGGTGCATCCACACATTATTAAAGGTCAAAGGGCTTCAAAGCAGTGCAATCATTTTGAATTTTTTATCATTTACTTATTATGCTTCATTAAGTACTTATACAAAATTTTATTAAAATAAAACCATTTAAACCGGGTGTTCGGATTTATATGTCACTTAGTATAGTCTCATCAGGAATTAGTTAGTGGATTAGTAGTACTACAGCTTGCATTGGAGTATTCATAGATTTAACAGGACAGCACACAAGATGTTTAGCAGTTACCTACATAACAGATAACAATGCGTCAGTATCCATGGAATTTATAGTAATTTTAAAAAATAACTTGTGGCGTTCCTCAGGGCACTGTATTAGGACCATTATTATTCAATATATATACTTGAATGATTTGTACGATACTCAAACATTGTAAGTTTTGTCGACGATTCCTTCACTCACTACAGTGCAGAAAATTGGATTCAGCTAATAATAGTTTGTGAAGATGAACTTGATACTTAAATAAATTGGTTTAAATTTGGTCTTCCAAAGTTAAATTATAATAAAATGCACTTTATGCCATTTTCATGTTTCATGTTTTTTGAAGTTTGTTTCTTTTATTTACTTGTATATTTTGACCATAGCAATCTTTTAATCTGTGTCTACCGTGTTATCTTAATGTTTGTTTTAGTTAAAAGTTTGTCTATTTTTATGTTATATTTCAGAGTTTGCCTATTTTTGACTACCATATACTGGTGTGTGTGATTTACCTATTTATTTACCGTATGCTTCTTTATTATTCTATTGTTCTAAATCATTCACGTGTTCTATGAAGATCTGAAAGAACCAATAATTTTCCTGTAAAAACACGCAAGACATCGCATCTCAACCTACTCATTTGATCAGCATCTGTGAGGGGATCTGGTGGCTTCAAAACGCAGCTGTGGTGTCAGTGGGGGGAAAGAGAGGCAGACGTAGGATGTGAAATTAGGTTGAGGGTCGCTAGATTAGTTTCCGAATACTCGCGGGGATGTCTGATTAATTAGTAGGGGTGACGATTCGAAAGCGGTGCGTTACATCTTTGATACTACCGCTGGATGAGCGATAAATATTGTGAGTAGGGGAAACGGAAACACTACTGAAAGGGGGATTGATGAGTGGATTATTAATGCAATAAACAATGAGCATCAAAAACCGGCAACTGTTACAACAGATCGTTACTAATTATACTCAAACGAACATCCGGTCTGTTCTTAAAAATACGCTCTGATGGAGACACAACGACTCAGAAACCACTCGCTTAGTAAATGTTTTCCCTAGTTAGACTGCGGCATACCTCAGAATTTAGCTTCATTGAGTGACCTCTCAGAAATGCATTGTTGCTTTGTAAGAAATTTGAGAAATTTTAGCCAATCTTAAAGTCACTTTTTCGACAAAAAAAGAGTATGCCGTATTAGTACATGGTTAGTGGTCTTCAGAAGGGTTCAGGGACGACACTTTTTTGTTTTATGTTCAATCTTCAGCAGGGATCGGTCTTGGCTCCGACATTGTTCCTTTTACATGTGAACGACTACCTCTCCTTACGATCAATCCGACCCACAGCGTTGCTGATGACAGCACTCTACATGCAGGAATTCAGAGCGACAAGCAGATTTCTGTAGATGAGCTAGAAAAAACAAGATTAGCAGCAACTTCCTCTGTGACGAGAGGCCTGGAGGTTTTATCATTCTACATAAGGCTCAGATAAAACCTAGTATCGAGTACTGCTCACATGTTTGGAGTGCTGCCACCCCGACTACATTATCCATGTTCGATCTTGTTCAGAGCAGGGCTGTACGCCTGATCGATGACTCTTCCCTAATAGACGGTCGCGGGGCACTTTCGCACCGACTTAGTTCTCTTCTACCGCTATGTCAACGGGTTTTGATCCTCAAACCTCTCTTCTATGAACTTCATAGATCCAGAGCTAGCCGATACGACCTTTCCTTTATATCTAGGGTATCGAGATTGTGGAGCAATCTATCTGAGGAGGCCTTTCCCAGTTCCACTGACCTTAGGCAGTGCAAAAACCGGATTAGCAATGTTTCTTTAAGCTCCTCTCAGCAGCCGCAGTGCCCTATGCGACTGCTTCGGTATAAAAAAACTGCCTCAATGGGTTAGTTAGCTATAGCAAAAAGTACACGTTCGACTTTTTTCCGCAGAAAAATGTATGACAAAAATCTGTAACAACATCTGAATGTTAATGCCTTTGTAGTTACCTACATCAAAAAAAAAGTCAAAATCGACCAACATTCTGGTTGTTACTATTTTTGGAGAACAATGCTCTTGTTTGACGTGACCTCTGCAACAACTGAACATGCCGTTTTGCAGTCTTTTTATCCTCGACAACCCTTAAGTGTATCATTTTTACCAATACCTACTGCTTAGCCTTTTTAAACGGACAGTTTCTCATGATCCAGATCGACTCTCATATAATCTGACTCTCTCTTGGCCGGATATCCTCTTGACCGGACGCGGACTCGAGAAAATGTTGTCCTAACCGGACAAAAAACAAAATAAAAAGAAACGCCTTGTCTTATTTTTTTTTCTAATGAGAGCATCGCTATTGCATTTCTCAACCGTGCTGCTGGGGCTTTAATCTTTCGGTACAAACGCACCCTATTTCTTTCCGGCGTCAATTAGGGATTTTAACAAGTTGGCCGGGGATTTACCGTTCTTATTATTTGGGTATTGTTGAAGATCCAGATTCGGGCCAAGAAATTGGACATCCACTTGAAATACAAGAATTTGCCGAAGATTCTGATGTCAATGAGGTTCCAGTACCAACAGAAGCTATTCCAAAGTATGGTAAAGCTATTACCCTGACCAAGCAGCTGAAAAGTTTTGTCGAAGAAAAGTCTTTGGAGCTTCTTTCTAAATTGGAAATACGATTTCGAAAAGCCATTTTAAAGAAAAATAGGAGATAAACAACAATATATGAATGTTTGCGTCCTTAAAGTGACTTTTTATTTCATTGTTTTGTATCACTACGTATATGCACAGCATACATATGTATGTACATACGTTGTATATATCTAAAGGCAACAAAACTTTTTTTTCTTAAATATAAAGTTTTTTGTTTATTTTAAAAACATTTATACAGGGTGACTTTGAAGTTGAGTCATTAATTTTCAGATAATGATTGTAGAAGGAAGATAAACCAAAATATGTGTGTAAAAATAAAAAAAAAATTTTTACCTTGTTTTATAAAGTATCGTCCCGACAAGTATTTCAGTGCGGACCTGTATTTGATCGTGAGGTCCCCTGTGAGGTCTTAAGTCACCTGATTCACGAGTCCGTTGTACTACATTAACAAAGGCACGAGGGGTTGGTTGCACTCGATTGGGAAACCGATCCGCATAAACATGTGCCATTTTTTATTTCGTTTGAGCCACGCAACAGATACTATTCACACGCGTTACCGACTGACACTGACTGCATGTATAACTGAACTGAATAAAATAATTGTAAAAACATCGTTCCAAATTCTTTCGCTTTTTTGTTTCCGATGCGATGAACCGATAAGGCGGATTATATCCGTTGTTGCCAAACACGAGCACATGATATTATTATTGAGACAGGGCGGTACTCAAACTTCCAAAAGGCTATAACTTTGTTACTTTAATTTTACCAGAAAAATGGTAAAGGAAAAAAACATTTCTTTTGATCAGATCTACTCACTGTTAAAATAAATGACTCAACTATATAGTACATATACGTTTGAAATGTTCCGTTTCTTTAATATATCCAGTTTTCATTAAGAACACGATTTTTTGTTGTACTCCCTTTCAGTCGGTCTCGTTAGTCTCCATCCAAAGGATATTTCATAGTATACGTCCATTACTATTTCTATAACCATATCTATACATTTTCTGAAACGAATTGACTACAGCAATTTTATGATCACATCATTCCATTAGCCTTTGCCTACAGAAGCATATCAGATACATGGCTTAAATAGCGGTTTGGCTTCAGCAAATCAAAACCCCGCACTGCCACGCACGTGCTTCTCTACAACCCTCGTCTACCGCTAGGTCGGCCGACCCCGTCTGGAGGTGTACGTAGCAGGGGTGCCGTTAATTGCCAGAGCCACGGGTCCGCAACCTCCCTCGATGTTTGCATATGTAAGTATTTGCAGAGAGACACCGGCCGCTTTGTAAGCAAGTCGTGTAAGCGACGGGACGTGTTGTTCCATCCCCTCCATGGCTTTCATCTGCTCCTCTTGTTCGCTTGGTTGACTAAGGGTAAAGAGCCGCTTCTGAATAGATTCCAGAGAGTACGTGGATCATCGGCAAGGAGTTGGTTTGAAGAGGTGATGCTCATGAGCAACTTTATACAGCGGTTGTAAGATGAAATATGTGACTGACCAAAGCTCCGGTTTCGGCCACAAATCGGCCGACCTTTCTGTCGGGTGAAAGAATATTTTAATGACTATTAGACTGAATTGAAATATTATTACATTATATATTATTATGTGTCAGAATGTGAGCAAAAAAGGAGTAAAAGCAAAAATAAATGGTTCGATGAGGAGTGAATTAAAAGAGAGGAATAAGTTGCGTTTGTTAGCGATACGTCAGGCAACAGAAGCAAATAAACTAAAGTATACCGAACAACGGAAAGCATGTAAGAAACTGCTTAGGGAAAAAAGAGAAAAGATAAAGGAAGACAGCTTTGTGCAATAGAAGAACTCTATAAAATTGGGGAGATTCGAAATCTACAGGGTGACTTCGAAGTTGAGTCATTTATTTTAACAGTGTGTAGATCTGATCAAAAGAAATGTTTTTTTCCTTTACCATTTTTCTGGTAAAATTAAAGTAACAAAGTTATAGCCCTTTGGAAGTTTGAGTACCGCCCTGTCTCAATAATATCATGTACTCGTGTTTGGCAACAACGGATATAATCCACCTTATCGGTTCATCGCATCGGAAACAAAAAAGCGAAAGAATTTGGAACGATGTTTATTTTATTCAGTTCAGTTATACTCGTACATACAGTCGCGTGTGAATAGTGTCTGTTGCGTGGCTCAAACGAAATAAAAAATGGCACATGTTTATGCGGATTGGTTTCCCAATCGAGTGCAACCAACCCCTCGTGCCTTTGTTAATGTAGTACAACGGGCTCGTGAATCAGGTGACTTCATACCTCACAGGGGACCTCACGATCAAATACAGGTCCGCACTGAAATACTTGTCGGGAGGATACTTTATAAAACAAGGTAAAAATTTTTTTTATATTTTTTTTATTTTTATACACATATTTTGGTTTATCTTCCTTCTACAATCATTATATGAAAATTAATGACTCAACTTCAAAGTCACCCTGTATATCAAGGTGTAAAAAGGCAGAAAAACGGTTTCGAAGCAAATCCAGTATTTATAAAGAGTAACGATGGACAACTCATTGCAGATGAAGAAGAAATCTTAGCAAGATTGAGAGACTATTTCGAGGAACTGCTGAATGAAAATTTTCGGGAAGACGACGAGCACGGAATTAACTATTTTGAGGAACAGGAAAGGGAGTTGGATGATAAACCGGACCTAGGTGATACAAAAAAGATTCTAGGAAGCTTAAAATCAAATAAAATAAAATAGATGAAGTTTCAGGCGAAATGCTGAAATTCGGTGGTGACAAAGTTATTGAGGTAATGCACAGTTTGATAGGGGAAATATGGAAACAGAAAGAATGCCGCGTGAATGGAGTGAAGCCCAATGTTTAAAAAAGGTGATAAAGAATCTGTGAAAAATATAGAGGGATAGCCCTATTGAATGTTGGATATAAAGTGCTAGCGACCTGGATTAAGAGTAGACTATCATCGAAAATGTTAGGAAGAAAAGGAAAATACCAATGTGGGTTTAGAGCAGGAAGGGGAGTGGTGGACCAAATTTTTACGCTAAGAGAGATCCAGGCTGAGAGTTATCAACATCAGAAAGATATACTAAGTGACATATAAATCCGAACACCCAGTTTAAATGGTTTTATTTTAATAAAAGTTGGTGAATGTATTTTTATCTTACTGTAAATAACAAGTGGAAAAATTTTCAGCCTTATCAGTTGGACATTCCGGTTTTTATACTGCTTTTCTTTAATTCACTAACGCTCTAAAAATGAATATTTCAGCCGCAGTAAAGAATCAACGTTGGCTGATTTTGGCTCTTGACATCCTTTACGATCGGTTACGATGCCTAGAGTACGGAGACCTGTACGATTTCGTCAACTTAGTGAGTTTGATAGGGGCCGTATAGTGGGACTTCGGGAAGCTGGACTTTCTTTTCGGGCAATTGCAGTTAGAGTGCAAAGAAGTGTAGACACTGTGGTTAGGTGTTGTCAGGCATGGCTTCGAGATGGCCGTACGCAAAGAGCAAGGGGCACTGGACGCCGCCGTAGAACAACAGACCGTGAAGATCGCCGCCTAAGATTATTGGCCTTAAGGGACCGTTTCTCCACTACCAGGTCCATTGCAAATGAATGGTTTGCAGAACACGGAAGACCTATTGGCATGCGAAGTGTTTACCGACGAATGAGAAGTTTTGGCTTGTTTTCATACCGGCCACACTGGGTCCTCCCTTTAACTCGAGAACACCGACGTAATCGCCTTGAGTGGTGCAGACAACGGTCACTCTGGGATCAGGAATGGAACAGTATTGTCTTTAGTGACGAGTCTCGATTTTGTTTAGGCATGCACGATGGTCGTGCCAGGGTTAGAAGGCGACGTGGTGCAAGGAGGAATCCACAGTTTTTTGTTGAAAGACATGTTGGAGTTATGGTTTGGGGTGCTGTAGCTTATGGTTCCAGGTCACCTTTAATCTTCATCAGAGGTAACATGAACTCTCAGCGTTATATCCACGAAGTTCTAGAACCCCATCTTTTACCCTATCTTGACACCCTGGCGGATCCAACTTTCCAACAAGATAATGCCCGACCACATGTTGCAAGAGTCACAATAGACTTCTTTCAACATAATGATGTCACATTGTTACCATGGCCACCAAGATCTCCCCAATTGAGCACGTGTGGGATATGATGGGTAGGAGATTGCTCAATTTGCAACGTCCTCCTCAGACTCTAGAAGCACTTCGAGAGGAGTTGGTGGTTGCCTGGAATGAGATACCACAGGAGGACATTGACCACCTGACCAGAAGCATGCCTAGGCGCGTTGGAGAATGCGTAGCATATCAGGGTGCATCCACACATTATTAAAGGTCAAAGGGCTTTAAAGCAGTGCAATCATTTTGAAATTTTTATCATTTACTTATAATGCTTCATTAAGTACTTATACAAAATTTTATTAAAATAAAACCATTTAAACTGGGTGTTCGAATTTATATGTCACTTAGTATACATATGTAGTGTTTATAGTCTTCAAAAAAGCATATGACATAATCCGAAGATCGGCAGTATACCAAGCACTAAGAGGACTAGGAAATAGTGAAAAGATTATAAGGCTAGGAGGAGTTAAAGGAAAATATTCTGAAAAGTTCAAGGTAAAAATGGGGTTGCGGCAAGGGGATCCGTTGTGAACAGTTTTATTTAACTATGCATTGGACGATACAATCAGAGCAGCAAATTTAAATAGGAATGGTTTATTATAGAATAGAAAGCACCAATGTTTAGCGTTCACAGATGACATTGCAATTGTTGCTAGAGGCAAAAGAGAATTGATACAAGTACTAAGAAAACTTGACGAGAAAGCAAAGGAAAAGGGTCTAATAATAAGTCAGGAAAAATTTAAATATATGAGATGGACAGATGATGATTTTATGACAGGAGAAAGCCTAAAGGTAAAAACAGGCAGTGGCAAAATATATAATTTTGAAGAGGTCGATCAATTTGTCTATTTGGGATCAACATTCACAAGGAAACCGGGCACACGGGAAGAAATCAAAGCAAGACTGGGGAAGGGAAGGAGATGTTTATATAGTCTCTCCTGAAAAGCAAGTAATAAACTAAAAATTAAATTATATAAAACAGTAATAAGACCATCTGTTACATTTGATTGTGAAACAAGGATCTTGAGGAAGGCAAATATAAATACCCTAGAAGTGTAGGAAAGAAAAGTATTAAGAAAACGAGAGGGAAACAGAACGATGAGGTATGAGAAAGAAGACCTTGCAGATATGTATAAAGAATCAAGTATCACAGGATATATAAGAGCGCAAAGGTTGAAATGGTTAGGGCATGTAGAAAGGATTGCAAAAAATAGGATTCCAAAAATGATTGTTAGAAGAAGAATAGGAGGCAAGAAGAGGAGAGCGAGACCGAAGGAAAGATGGAAGAGCGAAGTAGAAGCTAATCTGAGACGCTTAGGTGTACAAAACTGGAAATTCATATGTCAAAATATGAAGAAATGGAAAGAAATTACAAATAAAGCCTTGGGTCTTTCAGGCCTGTAGAGCTGTGTATATATATATATACATAATACAATTAATTGTTAATTGGGAAATTGGCAAAACTCTTAGGCTTAAGTTGACTCTTTTGACGATAAAATCAAGCTTTCTCTATGGCGCCTTCATCAGGATTCTGAAAATACAATTGTGATGCTAGCAAAGAAAACAGGACAGATTTAAATTGTCAGACAACTTACTCGTCGGTGAGGTTGCAGCCACAAGGTGTTTCAGAACGAACGTAGAGAAGATCGAACTTATAAATCAGTATAAAAACAAAAGGACGGGGACATTGGGTTTGTTGTAAAACGACAGATACCTTCGTTGAATGTTAAAAATATCAATCCACCCGAACAAGTTAAAAATATTACACGTGAGACGACATTTTGTTGAAACAATCGGAATGCAGTCTCTAACCTGTTTCCGCAGCACGTGGAGAGGGGGACGGCACGGAAAGATAAAGCGTCGACAGATGACAAGTGATTGACGCGACGGACCGTGGAACTGTAAACGTCCCTGTCCAGCTTTGGGTATGAAGTATACGAGGGACGCTCGGTAAACCTCCACCCAAAATTACTAAAATGCTGAAATAACTTGTCTTGGAAAAAAGTGGTGCAGTTCCTATGAGTGTAAGAATGTGTGATATTGATACAACCTTGAAAAGATGGGTTATGTGAGTTTATATTAAAAATGTGAGTGAGAAGATGTATTCCAATTTTGTGAAGATGTTGGTTCAATTTGGATATGTAGCCGTTCTAGCTTTTCGCAATTCAACAGGTAGGAATAAATGACACTGATCTGCTTGACATCAGCCTTTTTATTCATGCAATGATCTGTCATGAAAATGTGGGACACTTCTAAAAATAAACGTTTTGAGAGTCTTTTTTCTTTATCAATGATGACTACCGCTCACATATATATATATATCATTAAAATTAAAATTTTTGTCTTACATAGCCAGAACAGACATTGTAACTTCATATATTGAAAGTATCAATTTCATCTTCTTTTAAATGATGCTCAGTTAAGGTGGCTCCGACGCAGCAAGTTGCCACGCCTTTTTTATAAACAAGAGGAAATGGTGGTGCGATTCCTCTTTCCTCTTTTTTAAGTAATTAGTGAATTAATAAATTACTATAAATGAAATTTGTCAGTCAATGCGAAACAGCTGTCAAGTGGCGTGCAAATGTATGCCCTAGCCCAATAAAGCGGAGAGTAGGGGCGGCTAAGAGCGCCAGTAAC